TAATTTAGAGTGAACTGTTTTTGAGTGTCATTCACATTACATCCCAGCAACATCTAGAGTAGTGGAGCCACCACGAAGTCTAGCTTAGTTGACATCACAGTGCTTGCCGCTACAAGGTGGTTTCTGTCTGGCTTAGTGTGTGTGCAAATAATGTGCCCCTGGAAGTCTGGTGGGTATGGGAGGGGTCAGGGTCACTGTTTTGTTGTGACTTCTGGCCAGCCTGACACTGGGCGCATCAGACAGCTTTCAGGGTTGGTCTTGATTTTGGTAGATTAAATTTATCAGCCTTCCCCTAAATTGAGGCTGATTTGATGAATGCTGAATAAAACCAGGTCCCTTCCTAGCAGAGCTACATCATTATTAGACTAGAAGGATGGAGTACTGAGAGGCAGACCGTTTGCATTGTGCTAAGTGGTCTTTCAGATTCCTGAAATCAAGTTTGCCTAGTATGCTGTCCCAAGCAGAGGTAAAGGAGAGCCCAGGATGCTGACCATGAGCAGTCCCAGGACACTTTCTCTGTTGCTGGAAAGAAAAGCAATAGGTTCAAGTGGGAGAGAGTTCAGGAGTAGATGCCTCCTAAACAAATACTGTGAATGTGTGGGGACATTTTCTGTTCACATGCAGAATTCAGAGCTGAATTACTGATCAAACCAAGCCTTTTGCCACTGAGTTGATACCAACTCATAGCAACCCTATAGGACATCAGAATTTTGCCCATGCTGTTTTTGAAGCTGCTGAAATCTTGGGGGAAGCTGACTGCTACATCATTCTCCCAGAGTGGCTGGTGGGTGGGTTTCTAGTTGCTGACCTTGGGTTAGCAGCTGTGAGCACTTAACTGCTCTGCCATCATGGCTCCTTGGGATTTCTAAGGACATAGAAAATAAGTGGAACTCCAGAGTAAAGAAAACCATGTAATGTAAAATAGGCCAGCAATGAATTAATAAAATGATTGTGATCTGACTGAATTGTGAGGCTGAGGGCAAGGAAGTATGGATGGGTGGGCAGTGTTCCATATTAGAAATCAGTAGGTGACTCCTTTTAAGAGGTAAGTAGAGAACTCTTTAGTATCTACAGAAACAAAGGTAAGAAACAGCTGAAAAAGCTAAAATCACTTGCCTCTGGGGAGGCTGTGACGTTTTTTTCTAAAGCCTTGTGCTGTTTGTTTTGTTAAATTGTGTTCATGCAGTATTTTATGGAAATAAAATGTTTTGTCACATTAATGGTCTTTTCTGTCTCAAGTTGAATGATGGTAGCTTAAAACTCAAAACCTTCCAACCTTTCACCATGTGCAAAACTTCAGACCCTAGACTCATAACTTTGTGGTAGGTCAGTAGCACCCTAAAGATAGGAGGCAGGGATGGTGCACCAGCATGTCTAGCAGCTAGAAACAAAAGGAGGCCAAACTTGTGAGAAGTCTGCAAGCTGAATCCAGTGTTCTCTGTCACCTGCTCTGTTTGTCAGACAGGCTTGGCAAAGCCAGCAGAAGGTTGCTGAGTGCTCTGCTGTCTGCCTGCCAAGGCATGATATTAAGTGAGGTCCGAGCTTCCAGATTCCCTTCAGAACCTCTCCAGCAATATCTGCACTGAGTTCTTTGACAAGCTGAGCCCTCCCTGAATTCAGAGTAGGCATTCAGCTTCCCCTTATGGTGTTTTGGAGAGCTCAGTGTGACTTGGCCATGTAACTCTTTTAACACCTCTACTCACTTGTTTCATCTCTTTACATCACCATGGCCCTTACCCTGAACATGTTTGCCTTATTTTCTTAGCCACTGCCTTGCTTTGAAATTTCCAGAGCCAAGAATGCAGGCCTCTTATCACTGATCGTCTGGTTAGCCTTGTCACATGACGGGGTTTGAACCAGCCCTTCTTGAACCTACCTACTCTGAAGACGAGCCCTGGTGTGCCACTTTGTTAATGTGCAGGACTGCAAAGTTGGTTTGAAATGCAAGGTTGGCAGTTCAAGCTAACAAGCTGCCCCTCAGAAGTGTGTGGGTCAGAACTGATTCTTCGTGGCACTGCCAGTCCCTTTGCCAACTGCTCCGCTCCATTTCAGGTCATTTTCTGGCGGCAGGGTGGAAACTACTGCCTTTCGGAACTGCTGAGTGCTCGTCAGTTCCAACCCACAGGGACCCTGTATAGGGTTTCCAAGGAGTGGCTAGTGAGCTTAAACTGCCAACCTTGCAGTTTAAACTGACTTTGCAGTCCAGTGCATTAACCCACAGCGTCACACCAAACAAGCCTTTGCTAAAGAGTTGACAGTGACCCTATAGAGCAGGGCAGAAATAAGCGAGTTTCCAAGACTGCTTACTCTTTACGGAGTCAGACTAACATTTTTCGTCTAGAATGGACAGTGGGTTTAAACCACTGACTTCAGTTAACAGTGAATCCTGGAGGCATTGTGGTTTAAAGCACTGGATGACAAGGTTGGCAGTTCTAACTAGATGCACCTTGGAAACCCTGTATAGGGTAGCTGTGAGTCAGAACTCACCCGACAGCACTTAAAAACAGTGGAACTCTTAACTCCATAATGAACCTTCTCTGAGCGCTTGTGGGAGAGGGTGGGCCTGTGTGGTCTGAAACCGACCTGGATTCTCAAAAAAGGTCCTGCAGATCAGAGGCACTAACCAGTCATCTCTCTAAACCTTTCCCTTTGCCCCTGCACCCAGGAATTCTGATCACCATGCTATTCTGTCAAGATCCCTGAGAAATCTTATTTCTTGCCGCAGAGCAGCTGGTAGTTTCGAACTGCTGACCTTGTGGTTCGCAGCCCGATTTGTAACCACTTTAAGGAGCTTAAGGATTATAAGAGGTCTATTGTGCTACACAAGACCTTTTTAAAGTGTTGAGCAAAGATGTCAGCTTGAGGACTAAGGGTGTGCCTGACCCAAGCCATGGTATTTTCAATAACCTCATATGCATGCGAAAGCTGGACAGTGAATAAGGAAGACTAGAATTGCTTTTGAGTTATGGTGTTGGAGAATATTGAAAGTGCCATAGGCTGCCAAAAGAACCAATAGATCCGTTTTGGAAAAAGTGCAGCCAGAGTGCTCCTTGGCGGCCAGGATGGCACCTCTAGTAGTATACTGCAGATCATTTATGTGCTCTGGCCAAAGTTCGTTTTCGGGTTCTCAGTGGTCTACCACTCGATGCCTGATCAGGGTCTTTACATGTGCCGCGTCCATTATTGGAATAGCCTCCCCCATCTCTCCCTTGGGACAGTCCCTACGGTTTCATAGTACTCTGAACTTGTCACTTCACAGAATTTGTCACGAATGCCATCAAAGTTGGCTTCTCTTAGTACAAAGCACCTCTGGTCCCATTCATTACCATGTACCCAGACCTGGAGCTGTTAGAATGAAAGGATCCAGGGGGCCTCATAATTCATTTCTCGTGCAAGAACTGAGGTTTTGAAATGAGTACATTTGTTCCTCATCATTTCCCACTACTAGCAACCTTGTGTAGTGTTTCCACAGAGTGGCTGGTGAATTTGAACCATCAACCTTGCGGTTAAAACAGACCGTGCAGTCCAGAGTATTAACCCCCAATGTCACACCAGAACTCCTCCCTCAGCACTCTTACAAGGACTGAACATGAAGCCTTTGCCAAGATCATCTCTTTGGTGATTTTGAAGAGGGAAAAAACCTTCCATACAATTCTGCAAGGCCTTTTCTCCATTTGAAAAACTAATTTCACCATCTAAACTCTGCTGTCCAACAGTAATAGCCACTAGCCATGATTTAAAATTCTGTTTCTATGTGCGGCTGCCATGCAAGTGCTCAGTAGTCATAGATGGCTAGCAACTGTCTGTAAGTTGGGCGTGCAGGTACATAGAACACTCACATCACTAGAGGTTTCACTGGGCAGTGCTGAGGTAGAACTGGTTTTTTAGAACGACATTCTTTATCTTGCCCTGTCAATGAGAGAAATCAGGACATAACTAAACTGTTAACACTCCTCAGGACCTAGCATGGGAGGACCAGAGTGTGGTGAGGTTAGCAAAGCCACAGCATGCAGATCAACCAGTATCTGTGTTTGCTTTTCCTTTTGTAAAATGGGCAGTTGAATGGGGAATGTTGAAGCTAACTTGAGCCTTGTGTACTTGCCTACTTGGGGCATATTCATGGACAGGTTAACTTTTCTAGACTAGTATCCTACCCCCTATTAGGACACCTAGCTCAAGATTATTTTAAGCATAAAATAATGTGAAACAAAACCAAGCCCCCCAATATTAGGTAAAATCTTACATGCAGTCTGAATCTGCATGCTAGCATTTCCATTAACCCACTGCCAGTAGTTAACTCCAACTCAGCAACTCTGTATAGGGTTACTGAGGCTATAAATCAGAAAGTTTCATTTTCTCCTGTGGGTTTTAACTGCTTTTAAAAATAGCTCATCAAGTTTAAATGTACATTCTTTATATGAATTAAGAAATCTTCCAGTTTAGCATGTCATAACCAAAGGGAAATTCTTACCTGGCAAAGTATGAAATTAAATTGCATCGACTCAATTTGATTTCAAAGACACTTGAAGATATTCTGGCTTAACCTCTTGCTGATGCAGGGTTCTCTGGGTGGGGTGGGTGGGTGAGTTCACCTACTTAAACTCAGTGTTGTTAGGTGCCATTGAGTTGGTTCTATAAGGTTTCTGAGGCTCTAAATCTTTATAGGAGTAGAAAGTATCTTTTTCCCATGAAGTGCTGGTCGGCTAGAACCGCAGATCTTGTGGTTAACAGTCCAGTTTGATAGCTTTTAAATTGGAAGCAGCAGGTCTGGTTATTTAGAGGAAAGCCATCTGCCCACTGGCTGAAGCATATTTTTCAGTGGCTCGAGATGATGACTAACTTCTTCCCATCCAGGACTGCATCAATAGTCCTCTCGCCTCACTAAAACTCTTCCTTTTGATCAACATTTCAGCTCATTGAACTCTGAAGGCTGAGCACAACTGGGAAAGAACCAGAAGATACTGGTGATAAATAATAATTACACAAGCACAAAGAGAGACTAAGTGTCAAAAAGGTTTATTTGTCAAAAATTAAAAAAAAAAAGAAAAAACAAAAACGAAGTGGAATTAAAACAAGGCTGAATTTCAGCAAATGCTGCACCACGATCACAGGTCAGACACACAAAACAAACCACCACCACCAAATATCCCACCCAGGCTCCCAATGGTCCTAGCAACTTCTGAAGATTAGCTTCAGTGTTAAAGAGTCCACAGCTAACAGAGCAGCGACAGGCTACTTGCCACTACATGGTCATTCTAAAGGGGGAGGACAAGGAGGATGGCTCAACTCCTAAGAAAGCAAGGTAGAGGGGCTCCACCAGACAGGAAAAGGGGGGCGGGGAGCAGGCAGTGTAATCCTTACCTAGGGCTGCTCAGAGGCTGAGACTGTAAGGAACAGAGTGAAAGGCTACAGTAGAGACTAGTATCAGGAAGAAAGAAAAGTCAACTCAAGAATTAAATTAAGGAAGAAAACATAGTTGGTCACAAACTCCTTTGTTTACTGAAACATGAAGCAATGGAAACATCCCGGCAAAGGGGACCGCGCGGAGCAAGCTCTCATATATGACCGCAGCCCGAGGGTTCAGTCCGCAATTATCCTACCTGAAAGAGAGCACAACATAAGAGGCTTACACAGTGCCAGGGGAGCAGCTCGGCTCTCTCGAGTACAGGGGCCCTGGTCCCGTCTGGTATTCCGGGGCTGGGGGGATGGGGTGGGGAAACAAAGAACAAAACAAAACCACGTCAGTGTGGCTACAACATCTATCATTTGTAATGACCTGGGAATCTACTCAATGCTACAGACAGGACAAGATGTAATCTATCAGGAAGACTGATGTTTGCTAGAAACACATCTCTCTGATTTTCTTACCCATCTTTCAGACAAGGGCTACTGTGGCTGCAACAAAGCGCATCCAAACATTTCACAGGATTATTTTTTGGCCAAAATCTCAAAAAATGGCCAATTGCACTATTCTGCATTTGCATTTTAATCTTTCACAGTTAAGTTGTCAGAAATGACAATCACAATGGGTAGGGCACTGAGGAGTGAGGCCAGTCATCTCCATACACCTACATGTCAGACTGTCAAGAGATTCAGAGCCATAATTCCAGTGGTTTCCCTGATTGGCCACATCCCCCTTTCTAAATCACAAGAAGAAATCACCGCTAACATTTTCTAATTCTTCCATTGGTGATGGGGATTCCAGACACCAATGGCTGGGGAAAAAAAAATTAACTCACACCAAGTTCCTCTACTTAATACAGACAAAGGGCCAAATCTTGGTCTTGATCTTTGCCAATCGACTTCAAAAGTTGTGACGCTCTTGGATCAGTTCTGCTAGGGTGAGACCCGAATTTGGCTCCCCAACAGTTGTGGAGTATTTCCTCCTGGCAGCCTCATTAACATCAGGCTCCTGGGACTGCAACCAACTCAAGGTTACTTAGTCCATTTGAGCTTCACACCTGGAAGGTAAGTTTCTTTAAGAGTCATCACTAAAGAGAGGTTACTTTAACCACACTGCCCACCGTCAAAAATTAACTTTAAGACACCCTAACAACACTCCTTTAAAGACCACAACATATTTGTATTTAACTTTTGACACATATTTGAGAGAAATATCGGATAAATGATATCATCTTACTTCGGAGGCATAATCTCACTTCATGGTAGATCGAGCTGCATTCAAAGTAAAAATTAAGCACAAACCATAAAAGTTGTAAGTTACAAAGGACACACATGAACACACACTGCTGCCACTGGTCTCAGAAGATCCCGTCTTGTTTTCAGGTCTGTCAACATACTGGATGTGACTTATCACAGGTCCATACCGTACCTGCTTCTCACTTTACACCAAAGGACAAACATTTCTGTGGTTTTGTCTTCTTAAACATATCAACCTAAGGGGTGGGTTAGGATTGCTGGAAACTGAGTGGTAACCTTACTACTGGGCGTCCAAATGCTCAATTTCAAGATACAAGAAAAACCACGAGACTATAGAGTTGTGTTCAACCACTTCCACTCATTAGGAGAGACTTATTCATCTCTAATACGCCTAATCATTCTTGCCATGTCAACACTTTTGGTTCCTGAAGTAGGAAAGATGGAATTTTCAGAGTTATCATGAATGGGATTTTTCACACATCAGAAAATTACCAGCATATCTAATTTCTTTAATGCTTCTCCCTTAGAAATTGCTGCAAGAAATTAAAAGCCTCAGCTGCTAAATGATAGCACTGTGGTTAAGTACTGTTGAGTCGGTTCCGACTCATAGCAACCACATATGGGGTTTTCCAAGGATCAGTTGGTAGGTCTGAACTGCCGACCTTGTGATTTGCAGTCCAGTGCTGAACCTATAGTGCCACACCAAGCTAAATAAAAAAAAAAAAAAAAGGCACATGTGAAACCAAGTTTTCTGTATTGCTTAATGAAGGGACTCCCATGGGGCAGAGATCAAAAGAGTCCGTTTTCAAGGAAAACCACCTAAACGTTACAGGATTTTCTTTGGCTTGTTAGACATATGATGAAAGAGAAGTTTCTTTTGATTAAATGACATATGATGCAAGAAGGAATTGCCCTAGCAAATCTGAAGTCTCGAGTTCAAATCCTCCATCATTATTCTGGACCGGGAACTCTTCACACCACAAGGATTTTTACAGTGAAAAGAGCAAAGTTTTGGAAACAGCCAGGCCGGAATTTGAATCTTGACTCCACCTCTCGATTACCAAGTAACTTTGGGCAAAACACCTAACACTTGTATGAGCCTTCCTTCTCTCACCTGTAAGAGAAATAAACACCTCAAAGGCTTAGTATGTAGTTTAAATGATACACTCTACAGAGGGTACTCAACAAATGTTTGTTCTCTTACCCAAACCTGCTCAACACCTGGTTATAAGAACAGTCTTCTCATGAACACATTTGAGTTGTCTGCCATTTCCTTCAAAGGATTAAGTTGGTTGGAGTCATACACAGAAACCTCAAAAGGCCAAATGAGCCTCTCAGGATTAAACTAAAAGAACAACTTATAACTGGACCTCTTAGATACTGGCCCAACAGCAGACAGGTGGCTCTGGGTTCCTCTATAAAGACATGGGTCTCTTTCAAGAGAACTAAATGGACTCTTAACCACACCCACCCCAATCTCACCTCCAGTTTTTAAAAGGCTGAGTACCGAGCTCGGTCCACATACTGCTCCCGTTCATACCGAACCATGTCATACAGAGAATTCCGTGCAGCTGCTGACGCCTGAGACAGCTCACTCTCTGGCCCATAGCCGTAGCCCTCTCCAACTGTGGGGAGCACAGCTGCAGTACGGCGCAGGGGGCTCCTGTCCCTTCCATAATAAGAAGAAGTGGTGGCAGCAGCAGCAGCCATGGCAGCTGAGGTGGCAGCAGCGCCTGAGGTCGGCAACAGGTGTCTGTCATAGGTATCAACAGAAGTGGAATTGAGGTGACTGGTCACAGCTGGGTTCTGGACTTGAGGCAGATGGGACATGGTTTGCTCTGCATAGTTGTATGCGGAGGCTGCTGCCGCCGCCGCCACCGCCTCATAAGAGCGGACTCGATAACGCTTATAGTAGTCGAGTGCTCCGTACGCATCGTTGTAATACACGGATTCCCCGTAGCCCATGGTGTAAGGTGTGCGCACTGCTCCGTACTGTTCATTATACTGCTCAGTGAAGTCTGCCACCCGGCCCGTGCGGTCTACTGGACACTCTTTGGACCAGTGCCCCTCTTTCCCACACCGGTAGCAGCCGCTCTGGTCTCCCATCCCGGGGGCAGTCCGGAGCCGGCTGGTGGACAACTGTACATGCATTCTTTTGCCTTGAGGAAACAGATGTAAGAAGATTAATTATAACTAATGAACTTTCTCCCTATCCTCCCCACTGAAAGTGAACTTAGTTGGCATAAGATATACAGACATCTGATGAGGCTTCAAAAGTTTTGTGGGAAAATTCCATTTACTTTATAAAAAATATTTATGGACACGTTACTTTTATTCAAAAAGAAGTTTTACGTTACACAATAAAGCTAATAAAGCAATGGATAAAGTTATATATAAGAAACACACACATTAGAAGTTTGCCTCTTGAATCATGAAGCCCCCTTGTAAATGACTCCTGTGAGCCTGTTTTATCAATCCCCTCTCCAAGAAGTTGAAAAGAAGTTTTAAGACACATAAGAACTAGAAAGTCCAAGTCCTGAGAAACCAGTCAGTACTTTCTACTCACCCAGAAGTAAACCAGACTTCCTTCTACTGTCTCCAGAACTTTCCTCCCCATGTCCCCAAAGGAACTGAAAAAGTTTCCCCTTTGTACTTACTGCTAAGACTGGTAAATTAAGAACAGGGATCCGAAACCTGCCAATTTGTCCACGTGGAATAATAGTACCACCTTAGTTCAGCAGGCTGTGGAAGCATCTTACAAACCTGCACCGATGGGCACTCGTGGGCACAGGAGCCTGACCAGCACAGCCACCGTCTGTCTAGCTCCCTTCCTGCAGGTATGGACAGAGGGTGGGTACAGGGCTCACCTGGCTCACCCGCTGCTTCACTTGCCAGCACCACTGGGAGTTCTGAACCCCTTCCCTCCATGTATTATCCCCACTCCCACTTCTGCCAACAAGGGTGAATCCGTATACCTACTGTGAAAAAGAAAACTACCAGATTACTACCACCAGCGAGACACATCTGGAGAGAGTGCCAGTTTCTTAGGGGCAATATGCTGACACCTCCGGTCCCAGGTCACGGAAAGATGTGTTTCATCCTGCCCCAGAATCTGAATTTCTTTCTAGGATATTAGAAAACACAGCCTCCACCTGATGGCTTCTGGGCACTGTAAAAATTAGCCACACCTGTACTTTGTCCAGGGAATGTGCCACCAAACCCAGGCATCCTTGCTGATGAAAGCATATAAGGTCCTCTAAAAGCAGTTGGGGAAAAAGGTTATTCTTAGCAGTAAGTTTGCTCCAAACTGGGTAAGACTTTGGAGAGCAAGACAGTGCTTTTCACAGTGTAGCAAACCATGGTGTCCAGCAGGGCTGTTCAAAGCAGACCCCCTTCCAGGACCAGCAAATGTCTCTCTGTAGCAGATGTTGCTTTGGATGCAGTCATGTGCCCCGCCATCCTGTTGGAATGAGTCCCATCCAGGACAGTAGCTAGAACAGAGCTGGAGACGGGAGCGGGCAGTACAGTCAGATCACATTACTTAGACTCACTCATTCGGCTCAACCGTCCACTGCCTGAGAAACAAAGGTGTTCAAGCTTTTTTACCTACATCTGTGAGGGCAGAGGTCAATGAGTAACAAACAGTAGGAACTGTCTGAGAGAGCAGCAGTTAGCTGTTCTCTTACTTCCTGAGATCCAAACACTCTCATCTACCTCTAACAGTATTAAGGGCCACATGCCTAACTCATTTTTCTTCAATTTCTCCCTTGTGTGGTTACAAGTGCTTGGCTTTCCAATATACATGGTGACAGAAGTTGGGACACAATTGTTTTCTGATAAAGCTCAAAGTAACCGTGCCAAGCAGCCAATCTGGAGACCTAAAAGTACATCTTTAAGGACAAAATAATCCAATTAAACTTGCACCCGTTTACTTTTCAAGATTCTAGATTCAATTTTGGAAAAACAAATTCCAGTGATTTTCTTGATGTCTCTGTTACTTAACTCAACCTACCCACTTGCTTTTCTTTAGAAAGCAGGGATTCATAAGCTTATGTGAATACCAGTGGCAAAATCTAACTCTGGTGTAGTTAGGAAAAAGATACTAGTAATTTTTAATCCCCGGTGTGGCGCTGTGGGTTATAGCACCAGACTGCAAAGCCATTTGAACTGCAAAGTCAGTGGTTCAAGCTCACCAGCTGCTCCTTGGAAACCCTATACAGGGTCGCTATGGGTTGGAATTGACTCAACAGCACTTAACAACAACAAAGTTCTTACAGGGAGCTCTGACAGCGCAGTGGTTTTGAGCTGGGCTGCTAACATCAAGGTCAGCAGTTCAAAACTACCAGATGTTCTGTAGGAGAAAGATGAGGCTTTCTGCTACAGTAGATTTTCAGTCTTGGAAACTCTATGCAGGGTCACTATGAGTCAGAACCAGCTCCTCAGCACACCACCACCAAAGTTCTTATGGAATTCTGGGGTGGTGCTATGGATTAATGAGCTGAATTACAAGGTCAGTGGTTCAAGGTCACCAGTCACTCCTTGCAAAGCCTATACAGGCTTGCTGTGAGTAGTAACTGACTCAATGGCACTTAACAGCAACAAAACTTTGATGGGGTCCTGGTGTTAGGGTGCTACAGGATAAGTAGTGCTGTTAATTTCAAGCTGAGTGGTTGAAATCTATTAGCCACTTTGGAGACCCATAGGAGTTGCTACAAGTTGGAGACAAGTGGATGGCACTAACAACAAAGTTTTGTAACAATTGCAATTATTACACTAACTAAAACCCCCACATCCACTTCCACTGAGTCCAGTCCAACTTGGAGAAATGCTCTACAGGGTTTCCATGGCTGCAAATCCTCCATCTTTCTATCATGGAGTGGCTGGTAGATTCAAACCACCAGCGTTTTGGTTAGCACCTAACCCACTGTACAACCAGGGCTCCATCTGCTACACGTGTCGAGGCCAAAAAGCCCGAAGATTTTCTGAGATCCTCCAAAGTTACTGGAATCTGCTGACAATGCTTTCTACAAAAACCAGCGTAGTAAAGCGGTTTTCTTTCGAAAGCTGAAACAGAAAAGAGTATTCAACAAACGCTAAGAGGTGAGAAACTTGGGACCTCAGCTTCTGAGTTCCCATCCTGGTGTCTGGGCCCAGAGAAGTCTGGGAGGCAGGGGAACAGCTGACAACAGTAGGGCTCGAGATCACTCCCCATTCAGCTGCCCAAACTCATACTGCAACAGATTCTTTAGGGTCTTTGGACGCATTTCACTGTGAATTCAGTAACAGATCATTGCTCTGCTGATTGCCAGGAGGAATCAGATCCAGAAAGACCCAGGCAAACTCAGATCCCGCGTCTCTATTTACCAGTCATAGAACATAGAGGATGAAACAGTAGTCACAGCGTACAAGAAAGGTTGTAAGACACCCAAAGGGACCTCCTGCATTAGTGGAAGATGATAGAAAAGGCCTTTACACTTAAAACTGCAACTTACAGGTTCTCTTGGCATCTGGCAAAATAAGCCACAGTTGGGTACAAAATGCCTCCAATTCAGAAGAGTGTGCTCCCTCCAGAGGGGCCCTGCTGATATGACAACCAAATGATTTTTTCTCAGCTAATCAAGCTTACTGTCTCTGCTCCTTTAGGCAATAATTTTTTAAAAAACCTCATGGATTCCTGGTGTGGTGCTGTTGGAGCAGCAATGGATTGTGAACAACAGGGTCGGCAGCTCAAGCCCACCAGCTGACCCTCGGAAACCCCGTTCAGGGTCATCATGAGTTGGAATCGACTCGATGGCCCTCAACAACAACATGAATCATTCTTTTACTCAGACAGCCACTTTCTGAAGTAATTAAACTTATTGTATTAAAACACACTCCTTTCCCTGCAAGAGTTAGAAAGGAAACAGGTAAAGTCGGTATAATTCTGCACTAACAGTGACCACAAGTGAAGGCATGGATAACCACACTCAGGCTGAATGGCTGTCCCTGCAGATACATGGACTTCTAAAAGGTAGTAGATAAACAGAATTATAAGAAAATGGAATTTTTTTCATGAACTTTTTGAAACCACTTGTATAAAGATTTGTCAGGCTATTTCTACATGTGTATTTACATATCTCTGAATGTGGTGCAGCATAGTGGAGGTAAAGTTACAAAAACTCCTTAGACATAGGAGTAAGTCACTAGGCCTGGAGGCTTAGGACCACGGTTTTGGGAGACATCAAGGTTAATCGGCATAGTTCACAAAGACAATGTTCTATATTCTACATTGGTGAGTAATAACTAGCGATTTAAATGCTTGTGAGCAGCCATCTAAGGTGCAACTTTTGGTTTCTCTCCTTCTAGAGGAAAGAAGAGCAAGGAAATCAAAGATGAATACCCTAACGAACCATGTGAACATTAGCCTCCATAGTTCTAAGACCCAAGAACTAGATGGTGCCTGGCTACCATTACATGAAGTCCTAGATCGTTGTTGTTAAGTGCCACTGAGTTGGTTCTGACTCATAGTGATCCTGAAGTTTCCAAGGAGTGGCTAATGGGTTTGAACTGCTGATCTTGCGGTTAGCAGTCCAGTGCTTATCCTGCAATGCCACAACAGGACTCCTAGAGCGAGTGGATGAAAAATGTGGAGCCACTGAGACTAGGGCTCTTCACTCTTCTGTTCTGGTTCAATTTCAAACACAAGACACGCCTATCAGGGGAACGATGACACTAGGGATGTACACTCCTTAGAAAAAGCAACCATTTGAGATTAAAAGGGCAGCATTAACCCAAAGATAGAGTTCGGAAAGGGTAAGGAGAGAAGAAGGAATGGAAACGGGAAACACAGGGACAAAGTGAGATTAAGTGATATCACATTGTAAGGATTACAAATCAATGAATGACATGAAACAAAATGTGTACTAATCATTGCATGGAAAACGTATTTGCTCTGTAAACTGTAAGACAATTCACAATAACAAGTTTAAAGCAAATCCAAGCTAACGCACCCAAATTAGCTAACTAAGAGGGTAAATCAAAAAGTATTGTTACAACATCACAGAAACCTTTACTAAACAAGAATGTCAAAGTGTGAAATGATTGTATCTCAACATATCCTCCACCTAGGTCTATGAACTTCTGAAGGTGGTGTTTTCATCTCTCTAACTTTTCCTTGAAGAATTCTGCGCTCTTCCAACTATATCATGTTAAAACAGCAGCTTGGGCAACCTCGAGGGCCTCGCATCGTGTTCCTTTTCAATGTTCTTTGAGTTTTGGGAACAAAAAGAAGCCTAGAAGGGCAAGATCAGGGATGTAGGATGAATGGGGTAAGGTTTCCCAACAAAATTGCTACCCTCAAATACTGAGCTGGTGCATTGTTGTGATGGACAAAAAAAAATCCATTCCTTGACACAACTTTCCTGGCCTTTTCCTCACCAATGTATTTCTCAATGATCTTAGTAAGGCTCCATGATCATCCTGTGTCCCTTGAGAAAATCTACCAACATGATCTCTCTGGAATCTCCCAAAACAATTGCCATCGCCTTCTGAGCCAACCTCTCTGCTCTTAATTTAACTGCCTCAGCAGATGCCTTCAGAAGCCCTTTTTGGAGCACTCCCTAACAAGACAAGTGTATTATGGAGAGAATTAGTCTGTAGCCATTCACTGAATTGCAAAGACTTACTTACCTACAACGGTTTTATTTGGAACAGACTTGTGCAGCATGTATGAACTGAAACCCTAGTAGCAATACTTTTGACTTAACCTCATACACAATTTTCTCCTCTCCTTTTACCCAATCCAGTATAAAAAGGTAAAGGTCTGTAGCTAACTGCATTTTGTTTATAAGACAGTCCTTCTTTCCTTCTCTCTGTTGTCTACTCACGAGCCCCTTCTCCACAAAATGAAAATAATGAAGAATCGTTTGTAGTGATACCTGGAGTGCAACACCATTCCAAAATAACAGTAATAAAAGAAATAGGGCTGGGGCCTGAGGTGCTTCTCTCCCCACCCCAACTGTCTGCAAACTTCCTTACCATTTTCTGGTTGTTTCCCCTTCTCCCAATCTTTTCTGTCTTGTTTGCAGGTTTAGCAGAGGACCCTTATGCACTTCTTAACACCTCTTTCAGTGGCACTCAGGACAAAAAAGAGTGTTGACTTAATACCAGAAAAGTGTCTGTGCACGTGGGGTCCAACACGACACACCCAACAAAAAGAGCAGTTCTGTCCAACAGAAATTTTCTGTGATGACGGAAAAGCTCTCTCTGTGCTAATATGGTCGCCACTAGCCTCATGAGGCCACTGAAGGCTAGAAATGTGACCAGTACAATAGAGGAACAGAATTTCAAATTTTGCTTCATTTCAGTTAAACAGTGATATGTGGCTAGTTGTTGTTGTTATGTGCCATGGCGTCGGCTACCCAATGTGTCAGCACAGTTCTAGATGGTTTCAGACCATCTCCTGTGATATTAATGAGAATGCATGTGCCTTTATTATAGGTGGAAATAATTCGATATGCTTTATGCTGACCTAACTGAAATCTCCACAGAGGCAGCTCCAGGATTCTCTATTCAGTAGAATCTTTCTAGGAATGTCTTTTCCTCTTCTTAGGTACCCTCCACCTCCACAAGTTAATGACTAAAAGGTGGTGAGTAGTCTGGGGACCATTTTATGGTGAGGGTTGTTCTGTCTGGATACCGTCTTCCTAATCCACTGCTGATGAGTTGACTGTGACTCATAGCAATCCCACAGGACAGAATAGAAGCATCCAGGGGTTTTCCTAAGCTGAGATATTCAAAGGGAGTCCTGGGGTGGCGCTGTAGGATAAGCACTGGACCACAAGATTGTTTCAACTGCAGGGTCAGCAGTTCAAACTGACCAGCTGCTCCTTGGAAACCCTATACAGGGTTGCTATGACTCGACAGCACTTAACAACTACAATCTTTCCAGGAGGAAACTTATGGGAGCAGACGTACACATCTTTCATCTGAAGAGTGACTTGGGGATTTAAACCACTGACCTTTGGCTAGCAGCCAAGTGCTTTAACCACAGTGCCATCAGGGCTCCATGTATAGTCCCCAGACAGAGGAAATTTGGGCAACCACAAGATACTTCCCCAAATTCGGATTCACCACTCATTTTGCAAGGCTTTCTTTCCATATCTGCTTCCTTCTTTCTACCACTCGTCCCAGCCAAGGTTTAAGTAAAGAGGACAAATCCCAAGCATTTAAATCCTCAAATCGACAGCAGCATCCAGCCCTGAGAGGACGAGACCCAGTCAGGAGGGATGGATGAGGCAGAGGCTTTCAAAAGGTCATGGAAGAAAGCAGCATCTTTTAGTTCTATTTTTCACCAACTTTTTGAAGACCTTCATATTTCCTAAGATGCTCACTAAAGGCTGTGGGAGAAAGCACCCCCCAATTTGTGATTCTGAGCAGTTGTTGAAGTTGTGGCTTCCCCCAAAGTAAACCATGTGTGAGGAAACGTACTGTTTATTGATATCAAATTGACTCAGACTTATAGCCACCTCCTGGGTGCAGAGTACAGCTGCTCCCTAAGGCTTTCATGGCACTGTGATCTTTGGGAAGCAGATCGCCCCTACTTCCAATGTGCCTCTGGGTGAGTGTGAAACACCAGCTTTCCAGTTTAGTCCAGCGCTTAACCATCTGCACAACCCAGGGACTCACGCAGTATTACCCCTTACATGCTATTGTTTTCAGCTCACATGGAATGAGGAGTCCTGGTGTGGCGGTGCAAGATATGCACTGGACTGCTAACAGAGAGGTTGGAAGTTCAAACTTATCAGCCACTCCTCAAAAACCCTATACAGGGTCACTACCAGTCTAGACAATCAGTCTAACTGACTAGACAACATGGAAGAAAAGATACCAGCTCCGCCACCCAGACCCCAGAGAAGTTCACCTTGAAACTCGGTGTTGTCAAGGCCCCTGATGGCCTCCACCGCATCCTCCGCCCGCTCCATGTGCACAAAGGCATAATCCTTCACGATGTCACACTCGATGACAGGACCATACTCCTCAAACTTGGCCCGAAGCTCCTGGTTGGTGCAAGTGGGGCTGATGTTGCCCACGTGGAGTTTGGTGGAAGCTTTGCTCTTATTCTTGCTGGCCTCCACGTTGATGTTCACCCCGTGCAGCTTGTAGTGATGCAGGTTGCGGATGGCATCTTCCGCCGCCGTCTTGTCCTCTATGTGCACAAAACCGTAGTTCTTAATGATGTCACATTCCAGCACCTTCCCGTACTGCTCAAAGAGCAAGCGGATCTCCTGCTCTGTGGCCTCCCGGGGCAGGTTTCCGATGAACAGCTTCACCATCCTGACAGCAGCCTAGGAGAGAAGACAGAGGCTTCAGAACCATCAATGCATTCACTGCATTTTAGTCTTAACTTAGTCCAAACAAGCTCTGGGCACCTTCCAGACCCCGACTGAGACCTTCACTAGTCTCCCTTAATAGAGGGAAAAGGGTTTCTTCTTAAGGCGTCGTGTGAACTGAGTTTGACAGATACAAATCTGTAGTCTCAAGTCATCTCCACAAAATGCGGCATATTTAAATAATACATTTAGCGGTTTCATGTCTTCTTGCTGTTAAGTGCCGTGGAGTCCGTTCCGACTCATAGTGACCCTGTATCGGGTTTCTGAAGAGCGGCTGGTGAGCCTGAACCGCCCACCTTGCAGTCCAGCGGATTAACCCACAGCGCCACACCTGGACTCAGTATCATGTCTTAGAAGGGTCTTTTCGGGGGGCATGGGCGGAGAGGGAAGAAGGCAAGCGGGAGCCAGGCCCACGTCTGAATGTCCCTAGTACCAAGGTTTTGGAGGGAAATCTGTGAACCGCTTGTCTGTACCGTATCACCTTTCAAGATACTCTGAGAATGAAAAAGCTCCCTTTGGATGCAAACTGGCACCCCTCAGCGGTTCCACCTCCAGCTTCTTCGCCCCAACAAAGACTCCAGCCGACCCCTGCCCCGCCTCCGGAGACCCAGCCCCGCCTCCTTCCGTTATCTCCCTGGACCCTCCCGCAGCAAGAAGTGAACACCAGACTCGGCACCGTCCGCTCCGCAAAAGACCCAGCCCCGCCCAGCCCCAGCTCCCCTCACACACAGGACACCTCGCGTACCTCCGGGTGGCGGCGGCGGCGGTGGCGGTGGCTGCGGCTCCCGCGTCAGAGAGAACCCTACAAAATGGCGACGGCCGCTCGAGCCTCGGCGCAACCGGGCCCTTTCTCGCGCGCCGGCTCACGCACGCGCGAGCGCGCGCTGCCGTCCTCTCCTTCCCGCGGGAGCCGGCCGGCCAATCCTGCAGTCGTGTACAAGCGATGGCCTGTGGCTCGGCTCCCAGCAACCCCCGCACAGGGCGGGACTAGCTGATGACAGAGCTGCGGAGCTGAGGCCAGCCCGCCCCCCCAGCCCCCGGCGAGCCAATCACCGTCCTGAAGGGAGGTCGGTGCTCTAGCGTCAGAAGGGCTCCTGGCGCAACCACTATTTTGTGAAATCTGGAGCCCGAGGGAGTCTCCTACCGTCACAATGGGTCGTCGTATAGCAAAATCTCGGGAGGGGTGGGTGTTCTCGACAGGTGTGCTGTGGGTTAATGCGCTGGACTGCAAAGTTGGTTTGAACCACAGTGTCAGCGATTCAAACTCACTAGCTGCTCCTTGGAAACCCTATATAGGGTCGCTATGGGTCGGAATCGACTCGATGGCGCTTAACAACAACAAAGTGGGCTTTTTAAAGATGCTGGTCAGCCTCTTTAGGAACTTGTGGGAACATTTCAGACACGTAGGCGCGCCACGTGTCTGGTTCTATTGCTTGTGGGAGCTTAAAAATAATTGAAAACATTTTTGCTCCAAACGTTTTCTTCATTGTGAGAGAACAGAACTAGCAGAGCTGGCGCAGCTTAGACTCATCTACCCAGGCTGCGCGTTTTCTTGGCTCGCTTGTTAAGTGGGCTGCTTTTCCTTTTTTAGAGTCCAAGCGCAACAGTTTCTTGTTCGTGAGGAGCGCACCAAAGGAGGCCAAGAGAGGCGCGTCGTTTGAGGGTGGGGCGGGTCTCACGCCCACACCAACTGGTAGTCCCCGTACACACACGTTCAGGCATTCAAAATCCAGCGGTGGTCTAAGGGCTGGTCTAAGGGCACCTCCTGGTGGCAACAGGGAAGCTGTTGGATGGAGGATCGCTCACGCTCGCACAAACAAAGCCTAGACGTTTAGAGATTTCATGGATTTAACTAGTGTGTCGGGATGTTTGTCAATGAATTCTGGGAGGGTCTCTGCTGCTATCACGCACGAATTCTCCAAACTGCCCACTTAATCCCCAGTTACTTTGATGTGTTTCTTGCACTTCATTTTTTTCATTGAATAAACAACATCTTGATAAATGGAGAAAAGGATTTCATTTACATGGATCCACAATCAACAACCATGGAAACAGCAGTCAAAAAAATCAAATGATATACATTGTATTAGGCAAATCTGCAAAAGACCTCTTTAAAGTATTAAAATAGCAAAGATGTCACTTTACAGACTAAGGTGGACCTGAGTCAATCCTCAGATACCTGGTGTGGCACTGTAAGATCAGCACTGGACTTTGAACCACGAGGTTGTCAGTTCAAACTCACCCTGTGCTCCTTGGAAACCCTATACAGGGTTGCTATGAGTTGGAACCAACTCCAGGAAACTTAACAACAGCAACAACATGTGCATGTGAAAGCTGGACAATGAATAAGCAAGACTGAAGGATTAATACCTTTGAAGTACAGTTTTGGCAAAGAATATTGAATATGCCAAGGACGGCCGGAAGAATGGGCAAATCTATATTGAAAGAAGTACAGCCAGAATGCTCCTTAGACGGGAGGATGGTGAGACTTGGTCTCATGTACTTCAGACCTGTTATCAGGAGGGACCAATCCCTGGAAAAGAATCATGCTTGATAGGGTGGAGGGTCATTGAAGGAGAGGAAGATTCAACGAGATCAACAGTAGCCGTAAAGATGGGCTCAACACAGCAAGGATTGTGAGGATGGCAGGACTGTGTAGTGTTTCATTCTGTTGTACATGGGGTCGCTATGAGTCAGGATTGACTCCAAGGCACCTAACAATTAACAATACTTGGGACGCATTTCTTTCGCTGAATTTGTATTTCCCAGCTGTTTCAGAAGACGTACTATCTTTCCACTTTTAATAAGTGAGTCTCACACTCACCTCCTCCTGTCTCATTCCATCTACCTACCTCTCCCTTTCCCTTCTCCTTTGGACATTCCACTCATCATCACTATTCCCCGCAAACCCCCAATAGCTTGAGTTTCTTTCCTTGTGTTCTAGGACAGACTTTTCATATGGAGAATCTGAATCTGCCATCAGCCATATTTTGAATTCTTTCCTCTGACTCTTGAACATGTTTGAGACCACCCAAATTAATGTTTTCGTAAGTTTTCATCCTCTCTTCTACTGTTTATTCTCATAGCTCTGATGACATCATTTCATCTCTTCTTCTCCATTTCTTCTCTTTTATTTCTTCTCTCTACATCCATCCTCCTTCCCCCATAGGCAACCATCTAATGAATTTAATTGTATGGCTTTATCTGTGATCTTGCATAGTAATGCCTTTAAATATGTATTAGTTTTCTTCCATTACAAGACTTTTTATTATGGAAAAGTTCTGACCCAGTATAGAGAATATGTTGATGAACTCATATGGACCCTTCCACAATTATCAACATTTTACTGATCTAGTCCTTCTACCTTTTTTCTTTTTTCTTTTGATTGGAATATTTTAAAGCAAATCCCAGTCATATCATTTTGTCAATAAGTACTTCACTGGTGGTGGTGGTGGTTATGTGCCGTGGAGTTGGTTCTGACTCAGCAACCCTGTATAGGGTTTCCGAGACTCTAAATCTTTATAGGAGCAGAAAGCTTCATCTTTCTCCCACAGAACAACTGGTAGTTTTGAACTGCTGATCTTGAGGTTAGCAGCCCGACTCATAGCCATCACGCTACCAGAGCTCCTTAAGTACTTCACTGTTGTTGTTGGTAATTGCCGTCGAGTCGGTTCCGACCCATATCAACCCTGTATAAGGATTTTGAGGAGCAGCTGGTGAGCTTGAACAGGCGACCTTGCAGTTCAAATGGCTTAGCAGTCTGGCGCATTAACCCACAACGCCACACCAGTACTTCACTATATGCCTCTAATTAGATAGCACAATGCCATTATCACACTTAAAAATTCAATTAAAATCCCTTAATATAATCTATGTGTCCTTCTGTGATGTAAACAGTTTATATACTTGACTGGTAACCAAAGGATTGGAAGTTCATGTCTATCCAGACATTTCTTGGAAGAAAGTCCTGGTTATCTACTTGTCAAAACCTGTCATTAAAACTCCTATGGAACACAGTTCTACTTGGACACACATGGGATTACCATAAGCAGAAGTCAACTTGTCAGCAACTGGGTAATTTCATCTAATATTCATATCAAAATTTCCCTGTTGGTGTTATGAGGTACCACCCAGTTGCCTCCCACTCATATTGACTCATAATGAAATACTGGCTGGTCCTGTATCAGCATCACAATTGTTGTGTTCGAGCCCATTGTTGCAGCCACTGTGCCAATCCATCTTCTTGGGGTTCCTCCTGACAGCAAGCCCAATGTCCTGCCAATGTCACTTCCAAGGAGCATTCTAGCGCTACTTCTTTCAAGAAAGGTTTGTTTGTTCTTCTGGCAGTCCATGGTAGTTTCAATATTCTTCTCCAACACCAGAATTCAAATGCAATTGATTCTTCTATGGTCTTCCTTATTCGTTGTCTAGCTTTCACATGCATACGAGGTGACTGAAAATACCATGGCTTAGTCAAGAACACCTTAGTCCTCAAACTGACATCTTTGCTCCTTATGTTTTTAAAGAAGTTTCTTTCAGCGGATTTGCCCAATGTACGCGTCACGTTTCATTTCTTAACTGCTGCTTCCCTGGGCATTGATGGTGCATCTGAGTAAAATGAAATCCATAACAACGTCTATCTTTTCTCCATTTGTCATGATGTTATTTATTGGTCTAGTTGTAAGGATTTCTGTATTACGTTGAGGTGTTATTAATACTAAAGGCTTTGATCTTCATCAACAGATGTTTAAATCCTCTTTTCTTCATCAGGCAAGAATTGTATCATTTGTATATCACAAGTTGTTAATGAATCTTCTTCCAATCCTGATGCCATGTTCTTCTTCATATAGTTCAGTTTCTCAGATTATTTGCTCAGCATACAGATTGAAAATGAAGGGATATAACCCTGACACACACCTTTTCTGATCTTAAACCATGCCCCTTTTTCTGTTTGAATGATTGTGTCTTGCTCTATATACGGGGGCCGCATGAGCACAATAAGGTGCTCTGGCGTTCCCCTTCTTCACAGTACTATCTATAGTTTGTTATGATCCACACAGTCAATCGCCTTTATGGAAATTTCCCTAGATGTCTCAAACGTGTCTTTTTATAGTTTGTATTTTTGGATCTGGAGTGAAACAAGCTTCCTGCATTGTGCATTTGTGTAAATTTAATTCCTGTAAGTGGTATTGTGTTCCAGAGCTGTTTCTTACTCTTACTTTTTTCACTAAGCACCAGGCTGTGTATTGTCTAACTCCATAATGTGTAACCACTCTCTCTGGGTGTAGGGCTCAGGTTATCCTAAAACCCACCATTCTAAACAATGCTGCAGTTCACATGTTGTTGCTGTACCCTACCTGAACTGTCCAACAGTTGTAGCACGGGTGCTATACAGCCAAGAAGCACTAAGTTCAAATCCATCATCCACTCTGAAAGATGTGGTAGTCTGCTTCTGTAAAGACTACAGCCTTGGAAACCCCATGGGGGTGGTTCTACTCTGTAGGTTCCCATAGGGTTACTGTGAGTTGGTTTAGACCCAGGGTCTTGATGAGGAGCAGAGAGCAGAGATAAATGGGAAGGCTCTTATGTGTTCTCATGGTTGACCCTGACTTTTCACTGTTCTGGGGCCAATGGCTGGTCATGGCACCTCTCTGCCTCAGTTTTCCCATCTGTAAAATGGGAGCTGAATACTTGCCTACCTCACAGGGATGTTGTGAGGATGGTTTGTGAGGTTTTTTTGATTTTATAATTTTGTACAGAGTGTCTAAGCATTAAACATGGTTAAATCTGAAAACAAAAAAACAAACCATTATACAGGGTAATGGTTATTGGTTTCCTGATTTTGGTTATAAAGTGAGGGGTGAAATAGTTTGGTTGCTGGGTCACAAGGTATACCTAGAACTAACTTGTCT